TTGATTCTAAACAATATGGTGTATAAATCATTTATTACTTTTATAGAGCTGTATTAAGTTTGCAACTAGGACAGGTGATATTCAGTAAATAAAATAGAAATAGAATCAACAATTATATATTAGTTGCACCCTATTTCAAGGTCACATATCTTGGAGACTGGACTGTTAAAACATTTATAAAATTTTGACATAAAAAATAATTATTTTTTATTACAATAACAATAAATTGTTATTGTATCTTAAAGATGAATTACAATACAATTCAAATTGTTATTTGTTGTGGGTCATACCTTTTTTTTCTTCTGATATTGTTATTATATTATGAAGATGAATTTCAATAGAATATTTATTGTTATTGTATTACAGTATTAAAATAATTGTAAATCACAAGTTTTGTTATTGTTTCTAAAAAATTTAATACAATACCAACAGTTATTGTTTCTGTTATTGTTTTCATTACAATTACAAGTCCAAACTTTATTCAGATTTATTCATTCTATTTAGTACAATGTTTTTAGATAACTGTATATTTTATGATCCTGAACAGACATTACACAATAAAAAAGTACTACAAATTTGATAACAAGTATTTCGAATTGATAAAAAACATCTGTTATTTAATAATTGACATTTTTAACGTTTTGAAGTGATTAACAGAACTATTAAATGCTAAAAAATTTGTAAAAATTAAGTAAAGCTTAAGGATGCAAAGTTCTATTGAATTTTTAGGACTCTGGAATCCAAATTTTCAAAAGGTGAACTAGCACAATCTTTTTTTTTTTTAAAGATTTTAACTACATTAAAATTATATTGTATTTTAAGACTCTCATCCAAGGTTATGATCAGATCATCTCAAAGATTACCCTCCAAGGTATATACCCTCCAAGATAATCAGATCATCAATTTAACGTATTCTTGAAAAAACTCAGAGACTCTGTAAAAATATAACATAATATTCCAGAAAAAATTAGTGAAAACATGTTTTTTTGATGTTTTTGTATTTTTATTTTTTTTAATTTTTTTTCGTAGAGTAAAAGGCATTTTGGCATTATAAAAGGCAAGGCTACATTTTGTTTATCAACCATATTTTTTGCTGGGTTTATAGATAATCCCTGACAAGTAAAACAATACTAGTTTAGAAAGTTTCTAAAATGATTATTTAATCTTGGCAAAGTAGGATAGTAAGAATTACTACTTCTTTTTAAACATAGCATTAACAGATATATGGAAAGCGTCTTTGTCTCACACCTTATAAATTAACTTTTTAAATATTTTATGTGCTTTAAAACTACTAAAATTCTTTTAAAATATTAGGGGTTTGGTCTTTAGGATTCAAAAAATACAATTTTTTAATTTATTTTATTCATTAAAACATTTAGAGTTATTGTTGACCTAAATCAGTTTAAAATATTTTTTAGTTAAAGTTTTTAAAATTTCAGTAATCATTATTTTATTGCAACATATAATATAACAAAACAATTTTAATAAAATATTTTCACTAATTTGTAAATTTTCCATTTGTTTCAATAAGACTTTAGTTAAGTTTTAATTTCCTTAAACATTTTTGTATATAGAACAGTTAATTGAAAGTTAAAAGTGATATTTTTACTTATTTCTTTAATATTTCTTAGAAGATTTTGAACATAGTTAAATATGTTATAAAAAAGTTCTTCAATATTAAAAGAAAACTAGAGACAACTTTAAACATGCTTCAAAACTTGTTAAGTATTTTGTTAACAAGTTTTGAAAATTAGTATGTTTGAAAAATGTGCTAAATAAACAAATGTAAACTGAAACTTTAATTAAAAACTAAAAATTAAAAATAAACAAACCATTAACTGAAAAGAAAAACAAAAATTAAAAAAATACTTAGCAAATCATAAAATAAATAAAACATAAAATTATTATGTCTTTATTTTAATTTTAAAGTTCACTTCATAAAATTTAGAAAAGATTAAAGTTTTAAAGTTATTTAATTCTAACTTAATTGCTTCGAAACTTTAATCCTAACTTAATTGAAACTTTAGATATTTAAAGTTATTTTAAAATTTGAAGCTTCTATATTTTTTAGTGAGCCCCATGCTGTAGCAGAAGTGAGATCCTTTTCAAGCTCAGATGCCCCTGCAAGCAATCAGAGGGAGTTGGCTTCTTATCGTGATAAGAATAAATGGTAGTATCATCAGCAAATAATGCCACCTTAGATGTGAGAATATCTGGAAAATCGTTAATGTAAATTAAAAAGAGTATAGGGCCAAGGATTAAACCTTGAGGAACCCCTGAGGTTACAGAATAAGAAGAAGAGTGCTGTCCATCAAGGACAACTTTTATACTACGATTGGAAAGGAAGGATTCAATAATTTTAAAGAAGTTTCCAGATACACAGTAAGAAGAAAGCTTATGGAGAAGACCAGCATGCCAAACTCTATCGAACGCTTTAGAAATGCCAAGAGCGATGGCCTTAACCTTTCCACCTTTATCTAATGCGTGATAAAACCTATCGGTTATTACTGTTAGCAAATCAGCTGTAGAACAAGAAGATCGAAATCCATATTGATGATCAGAAAGTAGGTTATGAGATTCGAGATTAAGTGCTTGTTAATTAAAGATTCAAAAACCTTGCATATGACAGGCCTTCTCAGGAGACGTGTGCGGTCGCACGCCTTAAATGACCACGCATATATATTTTTTTGTTGATAACATGGCCACAATTTTTTTTGCATTTATTAAAAATGATGCATCTTAAAAACGTGCTGAAAAAACAAAATTAATTGCTCATCTTTTTTTAATTTTTTTAATAATTCATTATTATAGTTATTAATGAGAAAATAGAAACATTAAAATAACATATATAGGCATTTCCATTTTTAACTTACGTTACACACGCAATAACTTTACCAAATATGAGCTTATTTAAACTTTTAAATTAAACTTTTAGCAATTTTCTATAAAAGCTGTTAGTCTTATAAATAAAATAAGCTTATAAGTTTTGTGTTCGGCCGAAAGAAAGCAAACTTATTACTAAAAATGCCACTTGCACTGATGTTACACGGAAATCAAGGTAAAAAAACAAATTCAACTTATAGGTCTCATTTCTGCGAATCAGTAAATCAGTTTGTATTAGAAACTTTTACAAAATGCAGATAATTCTATACTTTTTTAAAATAAACTTGTTTTTTTGATACTGTATTTTTTACTTAAATTACATCACTTACATTATCGAGCGGTTATCATGATTTTTTTTTATCTATTATTAAGAGTAAGAGTTACGTAACAAAAGAATTGCATAAGTATTGAACTCATTCATGAAAAATAATTAACAAAGAAATTTTTTAAAAACTGGTGGCACTCTTCCTGAGTGATTTTTCATAACTTTCATGAAAGTTATCAAACTGGAAATAATTTTTTCGCAAGTCCAAGAGTAACTGCAGAAAAATATTTTAGTTTTACATCTTTATTATTACTTAATTGAGTAATTGGTTTGTTAAAGTTTCTATTTACACTTCTTACATTTATGCGTATTGCTTTATTTTTATAAGATTGAATTTTTATAATGCTGCTAAGCAGAGCCGGCGCGAGTAGGGGTCACGTGGGGGGTGGGTGCCATAACAACTTTTGCCGTCTTAAAAATAAAAAAAAAATTAAAAAAAAAAAAGGTTCTCGTTTTTTAAAATTTACCGACTGCCATAAAGACATTTGCCGACTGACTTAACCGACTAACCTATCGACAGGGTCTACATTTGCCAACTAACTAGTCAAAAAGGGTCACATTTGCCGACTAAGGGTCGAATTTGCCGACTAAAAATCATTGATGGGAGGGGGTTCACCCCCTCCTTCCCCCACACACACCCCTATTGCACCGGCTTTGCTGCTAAGTTAAATTTTTAAATATTTAAATCTTTTCTAAACATCTATATGTCCACCAAAATAATAGTACATAAACAAACAAACAAAAAAACAATAAAATAAATAATTTTAATACATATAAAAAAAAAAAATTTTTTTTTAATTTTCCTTATATGAAAAGTTTCAGTTAAAACCTTATCAAGCCAACAGGAAGAAATAATAATTACTTAATGACGTAATTCATTTAGTAAATAAAAACTTAACGAAAAATCGCCAGAATTTTATTAAATGCATGAAAACAAATAAATATATATATATATATATTTATATATTATTTTTATCTTTTTATTTTATCATTAATTAAATATATATATATGTGCATTATTGTTAGGTTTTAATTTTATCATAAATAATTGTAATAATAAATTATTATTATTAATAAAAAAAAACCAATAAGATGACTAATTAGTTTGATTTTTTCAGTGCGTTTTTAAAATGTGTCATTTTTAATAAATGCAAAAAAAATTGTGGCCATGTTATCAACAAAAAAATATATATGCGTGGTCATTCAAGGCGTGCGACCGCACGCGTCTCCTGGGAAGGCCTGTATGATAGGAAGAAGACTAATGGGATGGTAGTTAGACAAATCAGATTGCTCTCCAGAATTTTTAAAAATAGGGATAACAGATGCTGCTTTCCAGCAGGCTGGAAAACAAGACTCTGATAAGCACTTATTAAATAGTTTTGAAAGGATAGACGACAACTCCAGAGAACATTTTGTTTTTCTTTTCAGTTAATGTTTATTTTTAATTTTCTCTTAAGTTTAATTTGGTTTTTTCAGCCCATTTTTAAAAATTGCAAACTATCAAAACATGCAAATAACCGAAAACTGTTATTTAAACTATATCAAGTGTAAAGGTTTAATTGGTTATGCTTTGAAAATTTATGTGAATTATTAAGTATCACCAAAAAGATGATACTTAATCATGTTGAACAAAAAATTGCATTCCTCATTAATGTCAATTATCCAAAGTTATATTAGTAGAGTGGTAATATAAGAAGTGATTTTTATACTTTAAAAAAAAAAAAAAATCTTACTTTTTAAAATGAAATGATAATCAAATTAACTTGCAATTTTATTTTTAACTTTTATAAAGGAAAACAGAATCAGTTGATGTTATGGATGCAGTTGGAAGTAATATAATTGTTGGTACACGTGGAGGAGAGGTTATGAGAATATTACCCAGAGTCAATGAGGTACATTTTAATTTAATTAGCTTTCTGAGCTTGATTGATTATCAATTAGATAAATTATTAGTTAAATTTTGTTGGTACAATTATCAGTTTAAAACAATGTATATAACATACTTTGTGCAAGAGTTTGCCAACTCTTATGCACTTAAGTGCAAGAGTTTACAAATTTTATAAAAATTTTAAATACAAAATACATTTATGTATTATACTCATAAAAATCAAATTTTGTTTTTGTATTGACAAGATCAGCATTTTTTTTATAGTAAAAAGTTAATAAATTTGTTAAAAGTTACAAACTGTTTTGAATGATTTAATGTTTTTGTTTTCCCTTGATTGCATTATAATTGCAAAAAAGCAGCATAAATTGATTTTTAAAACCTAAATAAAACTAAAAAGTCTGAACAATTTATATTATAGTAAGTTATGATCTAGTAAGATTTAATATAGTAAGTTATGATCTTGTAAGGTTTATATTATATTAAGTTATGATCTTGGTTTAATATAGTACAACCTACTACATAGTAATATGTGATCCAGATTGTTACATGACCTGCCACTTCGTTTTGTGGCTTAAAGCTCTCCCCAATCATAGTTCATGGATGGCACTAGGTATAGTGTCTTGATAAAATATTTATTTTCTATATAAGTTGAACTGCATACTGCTACTGTTTTGTCAAGACTTATTACCTAAAAAAAAGTGAAAACAAATATTTTGTGTAAGAAAACCAGTTTGCACCTCTATACTTAAGTTTGTGTTGCATGTTTTTGCTGGAATGTTAAAAAAATGTTTATTTATTTTTAAATAATTCAATGTATATAATTATATGAATTAATAATAATTTAAGTACATCTAATCATTTTATATTTTAAATATATTTAATTGCAATTTTTAAAATAAAAATATTTTTTAAATAAATAAACAAATTGAAATTAAACATACTTTTTGAATATATTTTTTTAATTTAATACCACATAGTTTTCTTTAAAAAGTAAAAAGGGAAAAAAAATCATCTGTTAACCATTATCTTGCTTAATAAACTTCATCTTTTTTTCCTGTAACTCTAATAGTGGTTACTTGTACCGTATAATTTTCCATATAATAATATAATTGTTGGAAGTGAAGATGTTTGCTCTTTTGGGCCGCAGCTTTTTTTGAACATAATTTTTGGTTGAATTAAAGGCTTTGTGTAGAAAAACTTGTAATCCTTTTTGTTTTGTTTATTAACTAAATTCAAAGTTTTTTAATTTATGAATGATTCCTTAACTTGGTCTAAATTTAATATTTTTATATTCACTCTCTTACTTTGTAACTAAATTTTTCAATCTTTTGTTTACTTTATTGTTATCGTTTTTAGGATGTCAATGAAGAGTGGATTTCAGACAAAACACGGTTTGATTTTTAAATTGTTTTATTGAGACATCATTTTACTGAATAAAATATTATAATTTTAAAAATCCTTTTTTTTTTTTGGATAGTAAATTGCATGAAGTTAAAATTAATTTTTTCAAAATCATATCATATGTATCAAACAGGTAATGAGAAAACTAAATTAATATTTAAATGTTTTCACCAGAAAACTCTTGAATTTAGAATTTTATTAATATAATGATTTCTTGTATAGCTGAGCATGTGTTTTGCCAACTGATCCATTATTCTGGTAAAACACAATAGCTGTAGGTAAACCTATGTATTTATTTCTTATTTAAATAAAACATTAGGTGCCTATTACCAATAAACCATTGGATACCTATAATCTATGAACTATGTAAATTAAACTAAAGCAATGTAAATTTATAATCAGAAAACTATTGGATACTATTAACCATTGAACCATATATTGGATAATAAAACTTATAGATTTTATAATTTTATTTTCAAACTTTTGTTTGATATTTTGTTTGAAGCTATGAAGTTGTTGTATAATATCATGAAGTGTCAAAACGTTTCTGGATAAAAAAAGTTCACTATTGTGTGCATAAAAGAGATTTAAAAAAAAAACTAAAAAAGTAGCTTTTAAATTTAAAAATAGTTTTTCAAATTTTATATAATTAAAAAATCTGCATTAATTGATTTAAATCTACTTTGTTTTGCCGCTTCTTTGAATTTTTTTCCTATTTTGAGACTTAATTAAGCAACATAAATGTTTTATTATGATGCTTTATCTTACTTATAATAAATCAGTTCTCTTGTGTATCCATTCATAAGCAGCAGAAAACAAAGATTAACTTCACCTTTAATTGCAAATGTTATAATAAAGCATACATAATTTTTTCATAATTTTTTAGTCTAACTTTTCTAGGAGATTTTTTTGTTAATTTTTCTAATTTTATTTTAATTTTTTTTTTTACATCAATATATAAAATCCATGTTTATTATCAGACAGACATAATTTAAACATTTAAGCTATTTTTTTAATTGTTTTTAATTTCTCTGAAAGATCTGTGGGACGTTGTAAGAGCATCATGGTATACTATTCCATTATTAACATGCCAAAAAATCAACAGAATGCCTGAAAATACTTATTGAAGTTAAAGAAATAAAGAATATGCAACAATTTATTAATTGTTGTATTGTTGTAGATAAGTGAGAAATGAACTTTTTGGGAAAAAAAAAAAAAATTTTTGTTTCAATTAGAAGAAGTTCTAAATTAAAAATAAACAAATAATTTATAAGTGCATTAAATATAAATTTTTATTTTGTATGTATAAATATGTTTAATTTTTTAAAATGTTTTTTTATAAAGCTTTTCATATGATGGTCTAAAGCGCCAGCGTTTAAACACACCATACATTCGTGGGGAGCATGGTAACTTAATACCTTGTGGGTGGGAAGATGCTTTAATTAGAGTAGCAGGTGTACTTTCTTCAACTCTTGGATCACAAATGGCTGTTATTGCTGGAGATTTGGTTGATGCAGAAACATTAGTTGCTGCTAAGGATTTATTTAATAAGTTTGATTGTGAAAATCTTTTTACTGAAGCTATCGTGCCAAACAGTGGTTGTGGGTGAGTTTGCTAATTTATTGTTTAGATACATACAGCATCTCTGTGTCAAAATAACCCAATTCATTTTTTAATTTTTTGCATTGTTAAATATTTCTCAATTCATTATTTAGTTTATTTTAAATATTTTTTTAGGAGTAGTAAATTGAAAAGTTAGGAAATAAAAGTTATAAAAATGTATCACTCTAAAAACAGAAAAACTTATGCTGAATAGTTTAGAAATTTTAGGTTTAGAAATTTCTTTGAAATAAATAATAAGTAGATGTAATGTGCATTGTTGTTTATTCCAATGATAACTTAGCTTTTGAATCTGTGTTAAAAACCGTTAGTTCTGTGCAAAATGCATTATATTATTTTTTTTAAATCCAACTATTTAACTATTTTTAAGCTCTTTAAAATAGCGAGTTTGTCATTACATGATAATGTAACACATAAATATAAAGTAAGGAAAATAAGTTATATTTTAATCAAGTAAACTTCTGAATAATTAGTTGTGATCTATAAGTACAGGATATCTGACACATCATGCATTCATTATTGTATCACATACTAATTTTAAAGTTAAATCTTAGTTTTCCATTGGATAGCATGAGTGAATGAATGAAATGCCTGATAAAAAATTTCATATTCTTTTATCATATATAAATTGTCTTTTAAAATAATTTGTAAATTGTCAATCACAGTAGAACTTCTTTACTAGTTGAAAAAACTTCAAGTTGAAAACTGCTGGCCTTTTTTTATGAATGTAAAAATGCATAAGTGAAATGATATATAAATTTTTTTTTTTAGATATTTATATTTTTGTCCATATGGACATTAACCTTTTTAAATAATTGCTATTGACATACCACTAGTTTTATTAAAAACTCATTAAAATGAAGAAATTATGTTCAAATAAAGTATAATAATTATTTTGAAACAATTTGTTTTTTTCTCCACATTTTATGCAAGCCTTTATCTATAAAAACTAAACGAATAAAAACATACGTTTGATTTTTTAACAATTATTTTCTATTATTAAAAATTTTGAAAATTGTAAGAATAAAAATCGAAGAAATTATTTATTATCTCCTTAATATATTCAATTCTCTCGTAATTTAGGAATTTGATATCTTTAATTTGTAGTAATTTGATATCTTTAATTTTTAGTAATTTGATATATTTAGTTCTCTTGCATTTTGATTAATTTATTTTTTATTTAATTTTCTTGATAATTTCTTTACAGAAAATTGTGTAAATGCGGGGAAATAATTTTTTAAACTTATTCATTTTTATTATTTCAATTTTTTATTTCACAAATGATGAAATCATCTATTTAGCAGGAAAAAAAAGACAGAAAAGTTAATAAAAAATTAAAGGAATTTATTTGAAGAATAGAGAAAAAAGTTAAACAAGTTTTTATAAAAACACGTTTTTAGTTTAAAAAACAACAAGAAAATTGTTGGAAACAAGAACAACAAGAAAATTGCACAACAAAAGCGCAGATGTGGTTACCGGGGTTACCTCAGAAACTAGAGATCCGTTGTTCAATGCCACCTTTTTGCAAGTTTTATAAAATCAGTAAGGAAGGAGGCGTGAACTTCTTTTCAAATGCTCTGTGATAAGACCATAAAGATTTCTTGGGGCACCTAAAATAAATATATATAAAATTGTTGGAAACAAAAACAACAGAAAAATTGTTGGAAACAAAAACAACAGGTTGTTGGAAACAAATATTTTATAGTTAAATCCAACAATTAAAACAATGATGAAATAAAAAAACTTCAAAATCAAATTTAAAGAAATTTTACCATCAGTGAAATTAATTAATTTTACCATCAGTGAAATTAATGCTAAATATGTAAAGAAAAAAAAGAGCTATTTATATATAATTTGCATCATATTTAATATGCAATAGTCATTAAAGTTTCATTATAAACAATATCGTAAAACTTCATAGTTACATCTTTAATTTTGTAAAACTTCATGGTTTCATGTTTAATGCTTTTGTTTGTGCCAAATAAGTTTTTTTTATACTTTCTTTTTTTCAAATTTTCAGGCTTATTATTTAATACAGTTTACTGCAACATGTAATGTTACAATCAAATCAAAATGTTACCAATTATCAGGGTTGGATTCAAATATGTTTGGTCAAATACAATAAAAATATGTTAATTCTAGATTCCCAAATATAATTCCAAATACAAATATATTCAATTGGCATTTTCCAAATACAAATACAAATATTTGTAATTTAAATTAAGAAAATTTTTTATTTTTTCAAGACAAGAATCTTATAATATAGAAGAATGGAAACAAGTCTTCTAATAAATACCCCTTAATAACAAATTTTTAATTTTTTCAAGTGTTAAAAATGTAAAAAAACAATGAATTTTTTTGTTATTTCCCAAAAAAACTGAAAAAAAAAAAAACACTGGTTAACTTAGTTTATGGAGCTGCAAATGCATTTCAATCAAATACAAACACAAATATTTAAGAAGTTTTATTATCAAGTACAATACGAATACAAATACGCCAAATTAGCCCATTTACCAAATACAAATACGTATTTGACACCAACCCTGCCAATTGTATGAGTCTGAATCATTCTTTATAATAAAAAAAGTTTCACAAGTTTTTCACTAGTCTACTTAGTGACATCTAAAAAATTTTTTGAACGTCATTTTGTAGTAATCTAAAAAACTGGTTTCTGTGCCTATCCAATCCGCTTTACTATGTAATGCTTTTGTGAAGTATGGGCTGAAATATTAGTGAAAATCAATAGTTTTGGGCCTGTCTACTACTCTACATACATACATTCATACATACATACACATGGCTCAAATTGAGTGTATTGTGATTGAAATTGCTTTTTGTAAAATTGCATTTTTAAGGCGATTCATAAAAGTATTGAATGTTTTTGTCTGAGGTTTTTAATAGGTGTCATCCATAAAGTACGTCACGCTAAATTTAACTTTTAGTTAGAAGTATGATGATTGTTCTCTTGCGGTAAGATTTTCATTCAACATAAAAAGCTTTTGAATTTTAATTACTTTAAATCTCTGTGTGGAAACCAATAATATCCTACTTCTATTTTAAAGTTAAATTTAGTGTGATTTATGGATAAAGTACATCACAGTAATTTTACCTATAAATTAAATCGAAACAACCAGTTAAGTTAATCCAGTTAAGTTACTCAGCTATTAAATATACTTTAGATGCTCAAAGACATTTACTTGCAAAAGTTAGTCGTAGAAATGTTTCTATTTATATTTTATATGTTGTTAACATATAATAAGTTTCTTAATAAAAATTATTTTGACACTAAATTTCAAAAAGAATATGAAAAACGCGATACCATTTTTTTTACATTTTCTTTTTATAGTGGTATCAAGGTTTGACATTTTCTATGAATTTGCAATAGGATGGTTCAAAAAACATAACATTAGGATGGTTCAAAAAACATAACATTAGGGTGGTTCAAAAAACATAACATTAGGGTGGTTCAAAAAACATAACATTAGAGTGGTTCAAAAAACATAACATTAGGGTGGTTCAAAAAGCATAACATTAGGGTGGTTCAAAAAACATAACATTAGGATGGCTCAAAAAACATAACATTAGGGTGGTTCAAAAAACATAACATTAGGGTGGTTCAAAAAACATAACATTAGGATGGCTCAAAAAACATAACATTAGGGTGGTTCAAAAAACATTACATTAGGGTGGTTCAAAACAATATTTTTGAAAAATATCTGCAGCTTGCACCTTAATGTGTTGATAAAATTGGAAATGTGTTTAAAATAAAACTGGATTTAAAAGTTTTTTGAATAAAAAATATTTTTAGGAGTGCCTCAAGACCTTTGATTATTTAATTATAAGTAAAAAACTTTTACAAAGTTTTTTACTTAAAAATTTTTTTATTTATGTTTTTTAAAAAATAATAATTGTTTTTAAAAATTTCATATAATTTCGCTTCTTTTGAGCCTCTACAAGACATATTGCTTATAATTGCCAGTGGCATGGCGAGGATCATTTCTAAAAATCAAATATAGATCTGCAGTAAGAGACTGATAAAAGTTTTATAATAGTTAAATATTTTTTGTAAAAGCATCATTATTTTTGTTTCTTGAAAATAGTTTAAAAAATTGAAACATTTTATTGCAAACATTAAACGAATGAAATAAAAACCAAGTTATAAAAAGTTTAAATTCAAAAAAATAAGTTATTCTAATTCTGTTCAATATATATATATATATATATATATATATATATATATATATATATATATATATATATATATATATATATATATATATATATATATATATATATATATATTTGTTAAATATTGAAGCATATATTTGTGTTTTTACTTTTACTTTTATAACTATCATGTTAAGTAAAAACAATTACTAAGAGTGACATCATAATAGTATTAAATATGTTACTTGTACATTATAACTTAAGCTGTTAATTAATATGGTCACCATACAAGAATAATATAAGATATTATTTAAATATGAGAAATAATATGTTAAAAAATTATTAATTACAAACTAATATACAAGATATAATTTTGTACTAACGCAATCCTCTTTACTGCAAACCGACATACATGAGATTAGGTTTATAAAAAAAAGTTAAAAAATTTTCCTAATTAGATTTTTTTGTGTTTATTCAAGCCCTGATACATATACTTATTCATTAATACATACATATATTCATACATATGTACGTTTATACATACATACATACATATATACACAGAAACAGACATTTTAGCATGTTAAGCTAAAATTAATATTTCAAGTCACATGATAAAAATTAATACACATGGGAGATTCCATGTGAAAACATCCAGGGCATGCAACCCTAAGTCTCAGATTTTGCTGATTTTTAAACCACTTAAAGATTTTAGTAAATTATGAACATCCTGAAAATTTTATCCTCTAATTTCAATCCGTTCCTAAGATATAGCTATTTTAAGTTTGCCTCCAACCAACAAAAATCCGCCATTTTTAAAAATGGTTTTGGTCCTAGTTTCTGTTATATGTGTGTTGGAAAGCTGAAAATTTGTACCTTTACATATTTTGGGCCAACGAATCCAATGAAACAACTTAAAATATTTAAAAACAAGCATAACACCTAAAATTTGAACGTTTACCACAATTTTACTGGGGCGAGTCTGATCACAAAAATGCCGATGTAGCTCGATTTTTCTTGCATCTTTTTTTAGAAATAATAATAGTATATTGATAAAATGGAATCTTGTGGGTTCGGAAAAGTTTTAAAAGATGAATGTCACAAAATATGTTTTGTTCGAAAACGAGGATTAAAAGATTTTTGTAATCAAGAAAAGGACTTTCAAGATACTTATATTTGGAGGTCTGGTTTGCTTGAGACTACATCATACGAAGAGATAAAGTCTATTTGTTATCATCATGAGCAGGTTTTTGGACCGATATTTCTACTAAAGAATGATAAGTGTTGCGATGTTTTGAAAAGACACAAAAAGAAGGTTAAAGGTAATATATATATTTTTTGATAATTCACCTTCTCAAGGCCGAGAAGGCCACTACAGACGAGGAGGCTACTTATTTATGGTTATAACCCTCTCTTGACTCTATAACTCCGAAACGCAAACCTTGACATAAAAGGCCGCTGTACGGAGAAATAAGTTGAGTGCGGTGCTACCAGGGACGTGATGGGGATCGAACTCGGAACCTCTTGCTTATGAAGCGAGCGGTCTACCACTACACAACTACCGCATATATAATATATAATTATTTATTATATATTAACTTATATATATATTATATAAATTAATATACTATAATTTAATATATATATATATTATATAAATTAATGTAATATAATATATATATATATATATATATATATATATATATATATAAATTTAGAAGCAGGGTATGTTTATTTAAAATTAATGATTTTATTTTAGGTCAAACAACCATATCTCTTGAAATGGCTCATAACCTTAAATCCAAAAATCTAGACTGTAAACCAGGATGGAAATTCTGTTGCTCATGTATTCAGTTTTTGTCAAATCGCGATGAAGTTTCTGATAATGAAATGGATAGTGAAATTGATGGCGATGTATTATTTGTTAAAGATAAATCTTGTAATAAACAACAGTTAGACAACTCTTTAATATCAATTGGAGTCTCACCAATTAAAGCTCATGGTGTCGCAAAGCATCAACGAGTTGTAACAGCAAAAAGAAAATTAGTCAAAGCCTACACAAAAATGGAAGAAGGTGTAGCAAGTGCTTATGGAGTAAATATAAATAACTAAAGTGTAGCCTCGACTTTTTCCAGTCAATCTATGGATAAAAAAAAAGCAAATGATCTTGATCATTTGACAACTTTAATGAAAGAAAAACTTAAAGTTGAACCATTTAAAAAAAAAATTCAAATACTAACACTTACACCTGAATCTTGGTCTAGAAAATACGCTTCAGAATATTTTGAAGTTTCTGAACATCTTATACGACGTGCTAGGAAACTTAAAAGTGAAAATGGAATTCTTGCTATACCTGATAAGAAAATAGGCCAAAAAATACCTGACTTTCTTACAGCTTTGGTTCAAGATTTTTTTCAACAAGATGAACATTCTAGAATTATGCCTGGTAAAAAAGATTGTGTTAAAGTTAAAAGTGGTCCTCCACAACAAAAAAGATTATTATTGTGCAACCTTCATGAGCTTTATATTGATTTTAAAAGTAAATACCCTAATTATAAAATAGGATTTTCAAAGTTTTGTAGTTTGCGTCCAAAATGGTGTATTAGTGTGGGACCAAATAGTACACACTGCGTATGTGTTTGTATTTACCATCAAAACTCAATATTGCTTATAAATGCTGTCCAATGGAATGTTACATACAAAGATTTAATGCCAAAATTAATATGTGATACAAGCAATAATGAATGCATGGTTCATAGATGTGCCAAATGTCCAGGTTATGATAACTTAAAGGCATTTTTAGATGAGGAATTAATTGAGATTGATGAAGAAGAAGAAATTCAATTCAACCAATGGCAAAGTACTGATAGATCACAATTAATTACTCAATCAGTTAACTTATTTGAATATAAAGAACTAGTTGTTTCTCACATTAATTATCTAACTTCACATTCATATATTGCTAAATGCCAAACTCGCTATTTGAAAGACCTAAAAAATAATTTAGGTTACAATGAATGTATTATACAGGCAGATTTTGCAGAGAACTATCAATTTGTTATACAGGATGAAATACAAAGTTATCATTGGAATAAACAACAATGTACACTTCATCCTGTTGTTATATATTTTAAGGAATTTTCTAAAACAAATATTCAGCATAAGTCATTCTGTTTTTTAAGTGATGACAATGATCATGATACATGCTTTGTGTATGAATTTCAAAAGAAAATTGTAGAGTACATTAAGGAATATTTAGTTAGTATCAATAAAATTTATTATTTTTCTGATGGATGTTCTGCTCATTATAAAAACTATAAAAACTTTATAAATCTATGCCACCATAAGGAAGATTTTGAGATTACAGCTGAATGGGTATTTTTTGCAACCAGCCATGGAAAATCCACTTGTGATGGCATAGGTGGTATTGTTAAAAAATAACAGCAAGAGCAAGTTTGCAAAGGGCATTGGAAAACCAAATATTAATAGTTGATGATATGCTTGAATTTTGCATCACCAATATAAACACAATCATATTTTATAAAATTTCCAAAGAAACAGTTAATGCAAGGAGACAGCAACTAAAGGAGCGATTTGAAACAGGAAAAACTGTTCCAGGTACCAGAAGTTATCATCATTACATACCTATTTCAAAATTTGAAATTAGTTTTAAAAGAACAAGCGAACATCTATGTGTTGACAGATTTATACTGTCAAAAGCAGTAATGTCTGATGTTGTTATTGTACCAAATCTAAATGATTTTGTTGCATGCAAGTACGATTCCTTTTGGTGGATAGGCATGGTTACAGAGATAGATATTATTATAAATGATATTCAAATTAAGTTTATGCACCCTCACGGCCCTTCTCAAAACTTTATTTGGCCACAGAGAGATGATATCTGTTGGGTACCATTGTCGAGTTTGATTGCAGTAATCAAAGTCCCAACAACAAAATCAGGGCGAACATATAACATTGATGGGAATGATTTTAACACAATAACTGATAAATTTAAATTTTTTTTAATGTTTTTAATTTTTAAATTTTTTTTAATGTTTTTAATTTTTAAATTTTGTATATTACTTTTGTTTCTTGAACTTCTTTCTGAGTGCTCTATTTGTTTTGGAGTCTTTGTTTTTTAAGTTTATTAAATGAAGTTTGATAAATATGAAACTGATGTTTTATAAGTAATAAATTTAAGTATATTTGAAGATGTTTTTATTTCTGATTTAAGACCGCAATCTGATTCTTTGTAATAACTCCAACTAAACTATTTAATACAACTTTTGAAAAAAAAACTAAATTTGCAATATACATCTGCATTTATATAATTCTCCCCCTTGAAACTAGACTTTTTCAAGATCAGATTCTAAAAAATTACAAAGAAAACAGAAACAGCTAGTCAACAACAACTTAAAGAACAGTTTGATGTAGCCTAAACTGTTTCAGTTGCAAAACTGTCAAATTACCACATTTTTTTTCTTGTTTAATTTGTCATAATACCTGTTTTTTAAGCAATAAATTTAAGTAGATTTGACCATATTTTTATTTCTGTTTTAGAAAAGACCACTCTCCAATTCTTTGTAGTAACTATAGCTTAACTATTCAGGACAACTTCCATAAAAAAAAAAAAAAAAAAAAAAATCGAGCTACATCGGCATTTTTGTGATCAGACTCGCCCCAGTAAAATTGTGGTAAACGTTCAAATTTTAGGTGTTATGCTTGTTTTTAAATATTTTAAGTTGTTTCATTGGATTCGTTGGCCCAAAATATGTAAAGGTACAAATTTTCAGCTTTCCAACACACATATAACAGAAACTAGGACCAAAACCATTTTTAAAAATGGCGGATTTTTGTTGGTTGGAGGCAAACTTAAAATAGCTATATCTTAGGAACGGATTGAAATTAGACGATAAAATTTTCAGGATGTTCATAATTTACTAAAATCTTTAAGTGGTTTAAAAATCAGCAAAATCTGAGACTTATGGTTGCATTTTCAAAAAAAATTAGATGTTTTCACATGGAATCTCCCACATGTTAATTTTTTAATTTGTAAATTTATTTTTTTATTTTGTTAATTACTTTGTGAACTTTTTAATTGAAAAATTAATGCCACTGTTAAAAAGTTATTTGGGTATACTAAAAGACATTATCTATATTATCTTGTTATTCTAATTTGTTTAATTTTCTTATAATTTAAAAGATTTGTTAAATAAAAGGATTTTTTGCTACAAAATAACAAAACTTTTAATAAATAATAATGATTTTGTAGTATGTTAATAAATTGATTTTTTTAGATTTGATTTAAGATCCAATTACTTATTTAATTCGACAATAGCAAAAATTGAAGAAGCAGATGTTCTACTCATTGTGGGAAGTTGTCCTCGTTATGAAGCTCCTCTTGTAAACGCACGCATAAGAAAAGCGTATGTTTTATTTATTTTGGTGTTATTATGACTGTGTGTTACATCTAAAAAAATGGTTCAATACATCATCTAAAAAAGAGTTCAAAAATGAGATTAAATTAAAAAAAAAACACTTTTCAAATTCAAATTTTTTAATAGTAGTTTAATATTTTTATTTAATAGTATCAGTTAAATATTTGCAACTATTAAAAGATTTTTAACAGTATTAGTTAAATGCAACTTTTTTAACAGTATTAGTTAAATGCAACTTCAAGTTTATTTAGTTAAACTAAATAGGAACAAAAAAAATATATCAGGCTTTGCCAGGAAGGTGTGCAATTTCAAGTCTTTATATGACCATGCAAATATTTTGTTTGATGATGTAACCGCGGTTTTTAACAAATGCGCTGAAAATATTCGTTTTTAATTATGTTGAAAATAAATAACTTCAACACATTTATCTTTACTAATGTTTTTATATTAGCAAAACGCTTTTAAATAAAGTAGCTAATGACTTTAATTAAAGTATCATTGTATAATATTTTATTTATATTATTTAGTTATATAATATTTTTGTGTAAGTAAAAATTAAAAAAAAAATTAAATTTAATAAGCAATAACAGCGAAGGTCTTAGGAAACTAAATATAAGAATCATTAAAGTTTTTGTTGAGAAGAAGAAAAAAAGACAAACTTTTTTGAAAGCCGTTTGAATTAAATAACTTTGACCTTTACTTAGGTTTTTATATTATTGAAACGCATTAAAATAAAGTAATAAATCACTGCTTACGATTTTTTATAAAAACATTAATGAATAATATATATTTATATTTGTATAAGTATTTATTTTTTATTATAAATGTTTATAAATGAAAAAAAATTATATAAATTTTTTATATAAGCAATTTAATTATTTTTTCTTTTGTGTGAAGAATTGTTAAGAATTTTTTTTTAAAAACTTTTATATGTGCGTGTTTATTAAACAATCGTCAGTCAAAAGTTGTTACTTTATTTAAAAAGGGTTTTGCAAACTATTATATTATAAAAACATTAGTAAAGACAAACATAATTTAAAGAATATTGTCATTATAGTTTATTATTTATTTAGTTAAGTTTTAAATTTATTTTTGCTATTTTAGTTTTAGTTAAGTTATTTTTATTTTGTTTTTCGTTATTTTTTTTACGATTTATTTTTTTTAAGATTTATTTGCTTCTTTTACAATAAGTTTTTTTTAAAGTTTCTTTATAGTTAAGTTAAAATAATTTTTTTTAAAAGGTATACAAATTTTCAAAACATTTAACAGCCAAGGTCAAGTTAAGTAAAATCAAATAGTATTTGCGTGGTCATATTATGATGTGAAATCGTAGGCCTTTCTGGCCAAGCCTGAAATAAATATATAAAATAAATAAAAAATCAATCAGTATTATATTCTTAAAAAAATTGCTTTAAAGACTTCATAAAAAATGTAAAAAAAAAAATCTAAATTTTCAAAGATTAGTATATCTTTAAAAAATTTTTTAATTTAAAACAAAATTTTAATTTTGGTTGTAGCTCGAAATAGTTAAAGTAAATAACTTTATTTTACATTTGCTTCATCTGTTTATTTTTTTATACATAAAAGCAGTGATAGCCATTTGCTACTTTAAATTTTATTACACATTTCAAATTTGGTTTTCTGAAAAACGGGCAATGCAAGTTTTTTAAATTTTTCTAAAAAATTGACAATGCAAGTTTTTTTTATAGTTTCCTGAAAAATGGACATGAACTATCAGTACTGTAGAATTTGGCCAAAAAATAGTGAAACCTAGAAAAAAAATTTTTAGAGACATTATATATCATTAGAAAGATAATTTTATCAGCTTTCTAATGATGTATCTTGTCACTTTTTTCAGCAAAAAAAAATGGTGAATCAAAATGTGAATGTAGGTTTTTTCATTTTTTTTAAAAAAATTTAATAAATATGAAACAGTGTTCTTAGATATCATAGCTTCATTATTAAAAAAAAAGTGTAATTCAATTGCCATGGTGTTATTTAATGACTGAACAAAAGGAATTGAATTTTTCTGAAAGCTTAAGTATTCATTTTATTATAAAAATGAATTTCTCTTTGAAATCGTAGCTATTAGCAAAACAAATATAAAAAATACTTATATTTATCAATGTATTTGAAACAGCTGTGTATTAATTATTGAATTAGATTTATAAAAAAACTATTTTGTGTGGTTGACTGTCTTTATTTAAAGAAAAAATAAAAACGGAAGGTGAAGTTCAAACTGACATATCAAATAGAATAACGCTATGTGTTAAATGCAGAGAAGCTGTAAGAATACATGATCTTTTGAATCATGTAGGTTCGAAGTATTCTGATTATAGCAAGAAAAAATATCCCCTCACTGCTATCATAGAGCATGCTGTGAAGCTTAATTTAGATTTTAGTTGATAAGCTCAAACTGAACAAAAGAACAAAGGCAAACACTTATATACATTTATCCTGTAGGAATTACATGTATCCTGTAGAAAAAGATCAATCAAAATCGAGACAGAGCGTATTACTAGAGCCAAAATGGAACTATTTGATTTTAAAAACAATGTTTTTATTGCGGCGATGATTGTATCTATGACAGAAAAAATCCAAATCGCAATAAATTTGAAGAAGTGCATACAAAAAAATCAGCCATACATTCTTCCACCATTGAAATATGTCGCAATAGAGAAGACTAACTTGCTAAAACTATAGAAGCATGTTTAATTAGTGTGAATGATCTAGTAACAGCAGAAGGCAGATATCATGTATCATTTAGAGCCAGCTTCGAGAACCCTTTACCAAAATATTTAAAATCTGGACATCTTACTTGCAATAACAAAATGACGTCATTCAATACTATATGTGAATTGTTAGAAAGAGACATAGAGTTGTACGCATTGTCAGAATTTGAAAATGGTGTCAATCAGAATTTGAAAATGGTGTCATTTGAAAATGGTGTCAATCAATGATGACGCTTATTCAATAAAAATGACCAAAATCAAATTAAAGGAAATGTACGGTGAGTTTTTACACTTTGTCAAAAGAGAAGGCAAAAGCAATATAATTTTATTGGACAGTGTTAGAGACATGTGAAAAATGGTACCAAGAAAAAAACACGAACGTAAACGAGGAGAGAGAGCATGTTGTTTTAACAGCTGCAAAACTTTTGAAAAATGTCATAAAAAATCATGACCACAATTTCAACGCATATCCTTCCAAAGAGAACATACTAAACATTGAAGGAAGCCATATACATCAATTATTAAAAACATTTATTAATGAACTAGTTCAAGCACCTTTAAAACAGGTTTCAATAACACAAGCTATATTTTCTGGAACATATCCCAGGTCTACTATGCCATTGCAGTTTGGACTTAGTGTTGCTGTCGATAACCGTCTTTCATCAAAATGGCTGAATAACAGTAGCAATGTCAGACATTTGATACTGTTGATGGAAAAAATATGCACCATGGACTTGGGTCAATTTCAATTGCAAATAGAAAATTCACAGATGTTTTGTTCAAAAGAAATAAACTTCCAATAAAAAGATAAAAGAGATAAAAAGGAACTATGGTCAAATATTAAGTCAAACGATGGGATAATGGTTAGGCAGTACTACATACCTGACATACCTTTATTAACAAAAACAATATTCAAACCAGTCATTCAGGTTTGTCATGCATACTACAGTTTAAAAAAAATATTTACCCTTACAAAGTTTGAAAACTAATTATTTTATTTAATTTTAGGGATAAATTCAAGCTCGTTTTATTGATCTTCTATGGAACATTGGCTACCTTTTCAAAAATCCATGTCCAATTGGTCTGGCTACATGAGTTCTGCAACAAATAATATTGTAAAACAGAAATCTAACAATGCTGTACTACCTATGATTGATTTACAGGCCACTGATTTGACAGTCCTAAATTCACTACTTTGCTTCATCATTGATCACTCCAAAAAAGTGAATGTTACAATGCCATTCATAACATTTGATCAGCAGCTTTACATATAAGCATACAAAATAGTCTCTACAAAAAACTTAGTTATATTTGTTCGTCTTGGAGGTTTCCAGCAACTTATGAGTTTTCTAGGTTCAATTGTTTGTATGATGGAAGGAAGTGGTTTGAGATGCGCTTTCGAAACAATCTATGCCCCTTTGACAGTAGGACAAATGCAATCAGGAAAAGCCTTTTCACGCGCTATATGAGGACATTTTTTATGTGCATCAGCAATAAATTCACTGATATTAAAGAATTTTTGGGATGATTTGAATGATAGTGAGCAGAAAGTATTTTTTAGAAATGTATGATTCAGAAGACCCTTGTGTTCTAGAAAGTAATAATCTGGCGGTTAGATTGCTAAACTGATTAACAGAGAAAAAAGACTATTTTTCATTAAACTCACAAACATCATCTTTATGATTATATTATGTACAATATGTAACTATGGTCCAAGAGTTTATTAGAGCAGAGAGAATAAGTAATTATTATAATGGTCATTACATATTTCTGCAACAAAGTGCATGCTCAATCTTTTTGCTGCAACAAGCCACAATAACCATGCAAAATCGTGCAGGCTTTACCTTCAGACCTTTGATGTCTTACAAACAGAACACCCTCTAATTTATGCACAATACATGGCAGGTAGTCGCACTGTTAGAAGAACCGAAAAAAAAATGGTCAGGGATATGGACTGTTTTAGTAATTGAACAGACTCTGATGAAGTCATTGAAAGGTAGAGGTGGAGTTATTGGTAAAGGTTTGACTGAAAATGTGTTGAGGGTTTGAACAAAAACATTGCATCGATGTGCAGAAGTAATGATGCGATGAACACTCTAACATCTCCGCATAAATCTGCTGACAAACATAAAGAAATGTATCCTGGAAGAATGAAACGTGATAGTGACGACTTTAAAAAAATACAATCATGGTTTTTCGCTCATAAACCATTCATGATTGGAGATCAACTTGTTAGTTTAAACTCAGGCTTGGTTAATAATCAACCAAGATCTTAGTTGACAATCAACCAATACCTGTGATCAATCAGAAGAGATAGGAGCATTAATACACAAAGAGTTAAATGGTAAAACCTACAAAACTCTTTCAAACAAAAAAAAAATCAAATATCAACACTCCAGAGCTTATACTCCTGCGTGTCTATTCAAGAGGGAATCGTTACAATTGACCCATTAACCCATTAACACTTTTTCTAAGAATGGTTGTTGTTGTTGAAAGAAAGCCAGAGAATGAAGTGGAGAGTTACTTTCAATATGAGTTATCACCGCATCCAACATCTTTATTTAAAGGAGGTGTCGTGAGATCAGCACAAAAGTCAACATTGAAAACATTTATACTCAATACTATATCACCAGTAAAAAAACCTGTATCAATCAAGATTGCTGATGGGGGCGCATTATTGTGGTTTTGCAATTGGAAAAAAAATGAGTTATTTAGTGACGTTTTTCAGAAATACATTGATTTTTCTCAACACTTACAACTTGACACAATCATTTTTGATGGTTATCAGTTGTCCAATAAAGATATCTGCTAAAGTATCCACCAAAAGCGATCTCTACCCATGCCCAGCAGAAAGAAGTATATTTCTAAGTAACTACAAAAACAAAAATGATTTTGTCAGGCTTTTAGCATTGAAGTTACAAAACAATGGTTTTAAAGTTATTTGTTATCCCAGTGATGCAGACAAGTATTGTTAAGCTAGCGCTTGAGATTGACATTGTTGAGTCAATCACAATTTATTCGGATGACACTGATATTTATGTCTATTGATACATCATTACATACTGGAGCACAACCTCAAAGCATTTTTTTTAAAAACATTGACATGAAATAAGGCTACAGATTAAAGATTATATTATAAAATTCAGAATGTTGTAAAGACAAGTGATACTCTTTTAAATAATTTGCACACGCATTCACTGGGTGTGACACAACATCAGCAATCCATAACTTCAGCAAAACCACAATTTTCATGAAGTTGAAAAATTCAAATGAATTGAAATCTACTGCAGATTTATTCTATAATGAAAATATTTCTACTGATGATATTGGCAAGGGAGCTATTTGTTTTTTTGAGCTGCTTCATTCACTTTGTTTCAATCTACAGCAGATCAGGAAACATAAATATAATGAAATGGTGGCATCTGATTGTGCAAGTATTGATCCTGCTCTATTACCACCATCACCAAGAGCTGCATATTATCATGGAGTATGTAGAAATTTGAGTGACGTTTATTTAGATCCATTAAGTTGGGGATGGGTAATACAAAATCAAATGCATGCACCAATTATGACAGATATAGAAGCAGGTCCTCAAGATATTTTAAACATTATCAGATGTGGTTGCAAAGGTCCATGTGGAATTAAATGTACTTGTCGAAAAGCTGGATTAAATTGTACATCATCTTGTAAATAGTGCCATGGCATAACATGCACTAACAGTAATATTAATATTGCAGAAGAAGATATTGAAGAGGAAGAAAGACGTTTTCTTGATGCTTTCGAGATCTTAATTATAAATATATATAAAAGAAATATTTTTCCTCCTTTGCTAGGTAAATACCGGAGTCGCAATCCGTGTTTTTTAAAAAAATTGCTCAGGTTAGCAAAAATCCACTATTTACATTTTCATCTGCAATTTATTTTGCTCTACTCGAAAAAAGTGACAAGATAAACCATTAAAATACTGTTAAAATTGTCTTTCCAATGGTATATAATGTCTTTATAAAATTTTTTTCCGTGTTTAACATAAATTCTACAGTACTATATATTATTGTCCATTTTTAGGAATTTAAATTTAATTGTGAAGATAATTATATATATATTTTTTTTATATTTAGCTGTGATAAACATAATATTGTGAAATATTAATTTTTTAATCAATATAAACTTTTTTCAATCAGTTAAAAGACTAAATTATTTAAAAAGTATAAAAAAATAATCTTATTACATAAGCTCAGAATTTTATCATAATTTATGCTTTAAAAATAATTTGTTTATATAAATAATTTCAGTAGTTTAAGAAAAATTTTTTGAAAGTAATTTTTCTTACAAAGTATTGCTTGTTCAATATTTTTTGTTAATTTATTTGTGAACTTGGTAGTTGTAAAATAAATGCAACTGTTTTAACGTGGAAGCAGGGGAAAAACATTTTTTTTAATGATGACGTCATTAATTGTACATGTCCAAAAATTAAAATAATTAGAAATGTTTTATTTAATGATATATACTATTAAAAAAAACAATTAACACTAATTGCATAAAAATTTAATGATGACGTCATTAATTGTACACGTCATAAACAGATATTTTACCTATTTTGATATGTTTTTTCCAACAAGGATAATTTAGTGAAAAATGATCAGAATATCTTGAAATTTTGAAATTGCAATCTTTATTAGTGATACTATGTTCTAAGCGAGCCAGAAAATAAAAATTATTTTTCAAAGGTTCACTGTCAAACTTTAAATTTCATAAAAAAAGAAAATGTTTTTATGTAAAAGTCATATTGCTAGCCTTGTTTTTATAAAATTTTAAAAAGTGCTTCGCTCAGAACACTCTAAATAGAACTAGGTAACACCATAAAAATTTTAGCTCATTAGCTTTATCCAATCAAAAGTTATCCTTGTTGAGAGACCACAAACATTGTAAAAAATAAGAGTCAAGAAAAACCTAATCAAAAAATGAAAATAAAACATTAAAACTAAAAAAAAAACAACTAAAATGCTCCACTAGCATATGTCTCTCCTTCCTAAAGTTCATTTTTATTATTAAAACCTTTTTTGGTTACAAGAATTTTTTTCTTGATTGTTTTACTGAGCTGGTTGACTTTTTTGCAGATTGCTTGATATGCTGAATATCAGATTTTCGTGAACCTTGTATAGTAAAATATCCATTTTTTTATGCCTAGTTTTTTAAAACCTGGGAGCAATCCTTGGGCACCATAATTGTGTGCATTAACAGCAGATGCAACTACAGTTTTAAAAACATCATTCCCAATGTATACTTTTTTTGGGCACCGTGTCCATAATAAGAATAATAGAAAATAAGAATTAATAATTAAACCTTTATTTAGAAGCTATGAATTTAGAACAATTTTAGGGGCTTTAGTGTATAGCTTTTAAACTGAATAAAGAAAAAGTGTTTAAAAAAACAAAAAGAAGCCTTAAGGTGAAAATTAGATGTCTAGATCAGGTTTCAATCCTGAGATACATTGTTAATAGTCGTTGTTAAGGCAGTTGCTAAGGCCATAGAATTTAAACAGTTTTATCTGGAAGGGCAAATTTTGATTGAATGCATAAGATTTTTTATATCACAACAAGGCTCCATGAAAAAATGCCAAAAATGTAATGTTTGAAATTTTCAAAAAATTTCAAAAAATGCCTCTTTTTTCCCCTGCTACCACCTTTAAAATTTTTAAAACAGTATATATATATATAGTTTTTTTTAAATACTTTAAGTAAATATATTTAAAACTCAGTTAAAACTAGTCATTTATAGACCCACTAGATCTTGTTGACCACAAAATCTCTGCATTATACTTTGCTGTTATATACTTTATATATATATTTCATGTTTGCATTAGTTATTAGGTATTAATGCATTTGTTTAAAATAAAACCAGATTTTTATAAAACATTTTTCAATGTTTTTTTTACCTTGTTATATTTTATAGTCATAATGGAAAAATTCTTTTATTTTATGATAACATTTAAACTCTAACTTAGTTGGGTTCATAATGAGCTTGATGTTGCTGTTATTGGTAAAAAGACAGATCTTACTTATGACTATAAGGTAAACATAATTTGATTATTGCATAACTAATCTTGGTTAGTAGATTAAAAAATGTGTTTTTTAAAATCTATATTGTTTATAAATCAATTTATCTTTTATATTTTATCATCAATAAATGCTGAAACTACATTGTAAGAAATTGCATATCAGTTTTTCAGCTCTGCCAAATTCAAAGTTATGCCTCCTGTTTGTGCAATATTTAAAAATTAAAAAGGTTTTATAAAGCCAAGCTGCTTTTGGACTTATAACTAGGGATTGCAATCCCGGAATCCCGAGATCCCGGGATCCCGGACGTTTTTGGGTCCCGAAAATCCCGGGATTCTAAACACAAAATCCCAGGATTTTCGGGATTATAGCAGGATTGAACTAATTAAATTATTTTGTAAAACAAAATGTTCAAAGTTGGTAACTATACTGAATTATAACGAGTTATATAATGCTGCTTTGCAGGTTTATACTGTTTATGCTTTATCCTTACGATAAGTGGAACAAATTTTTGAATAGACCATGGAGTTCGGGATTTTATCATTGAAAAAAGTTTCACAAACACAAATTAAGGCAGATTTGTTTGACTATTGTATAAAAAACAATCGTTAAGTTTGTTGGCAAGACTTCTCGGGTTAAAAAGATAAATTTTAAAATTGTTGAGCCAATTTGTGGTTAAGTGATTGCTTGAGTTTATTAAGTCGTTTTGTTCATTTCAAAAAATATTTTTAGAGAATGAAAAAAATAAAAATGAACAAGTAATAAAAAAAATTTATATCTAAAAAAATTAATGGTTACTACATAACAATTCCCTTTGGGATATTTCTAGCGATTTGTATAATTATATTTGTACAATTATTAGTTATTGCAACATTATAATGCCCTTGACAATTAATTCAGCTTGAAGGAATTCTAGTGTGAATACATACAAAATTTGACTGTGTAATGAATCGTTTTGAACGTTTTGAACTGATAACCTTTTCAATGCTTTTGTTGTTTACCGCAATAATATGTTGTTTACTAATGCACCTTAAAAAAATATCCTTCTAAACATGAATGAAAACAGTGAAAAGGGAACATCATTTTTTCTACACAAAAAAGATAAAGACCCAACTTCAGTGTGGTCACATTATTTGAAGTCTGCGGATAATTTGGCAGCAAAATGTAAGAAATGTGGTGTAATTTTGAAAACATTGGGTGGTTCTACAAAAGGCCTTCATACGCACTTATCAACTAAGCATAATTTGAAAGTAACTTCAGCCGACAAAAATTTACCTAGTTCGAGTCAACAGTTGAATGATGCCAGAACCAACGAGAAGCCTCCTACGAAACGAAGAATAAGGAGTTGCATCCGGAAAAAAAAAAACCTTAGATGAAACACTGGCTCGAATGACAGCTTTAGATGGGCTAACATTTAATGTATTTATAACATCAAAAGATTTAAGGCAATTACTGATTACCAGTGGTTTAGAAAATTTGCCTAAGTCAGCAAACTCGATTAAAAGGATAGTGGTGAGTTACAACTTAAATATTAGACAGTTAATTTCCAAAGAAATTTATCAATATAAAGCTTTGGGAACACAATTTTCTCTGAGCTTTGATGAATGGACCTTTACAACAAATAAAAGATACATGAATATTAATGTACATATCCCAAATAAGCACTGGAATTTGGGTCTTATTCGTGTATATGGTTCTATGAATGCTGAGAAATGTATTGATGTTTTAAAAACACGTCTAAAGGAGCATAATGTTAATATTGATACAGACATTGTTGCTATTGTTACAGATGGTCCAAATGTAATGGTTCGTGTGGGAAAAATTATTGAGGCTGAACACCAGTTGTGTTTAGTCCATGGAATTCACCTTGCAGTTTGTGATGTTCTTTATAAAAAAAAGTTCTACGCCAATGTCTGACACCGAAGCACCATTGAAGGAAACTCAAGATATTGTTGATGAAACAGATGATCACGAAGATGAAGAAAATATCGACGAGAAAATGGGATTAGGCTTTTTTCCCCCAACAAATGATGGGATAGCAAATATGGATTTACTCACCAATGAACAAAATATCAATGAAATAGTGAAAAAAGCACGTAAGGTAGTTGTTCTTTTTAAACGATCCCTGACAAAAAATGATGCAGTCTTGCAAAAATATGTCAAAGAAGAGAAAGGCAGCGAGCTTTCGCTCATTTTGGATTGCAAAACAAGATGGAACTCTCTTCTATCGATGCTAGAGCGTTTCCTTGCTTTAAAAACATGTATACAGAAAGCTTTAATTGACTTAAACCACCCAGTTTCTTTAAACGAAAGTGATTTTGTGGTTCTTTCGGAAATAATAGAAGTACTTGCACCTGTCAAAATAGCACTAGATGCGTTATGCAGACGAGATGCTAATCTATGCACTGCAGATGCAGTACTTATATTTTTTTTCCAGCAGATTGCTCAAAAACAATCTCTCTTTGCTAATAAAATGTTCCAAGCTATAAAAACAAGAATGGAAAAAAGACGATGTGAAGAAATTTCTGGTGTTTTAAAATACCTTCAAAATCCAAAATATGATGCTGTGAATGATGAAACAAATGTCTGCAAAATTTTTGGAGTTCCTCCTAAAACCCTTATTAGGAAGCAGATGAAAAAACTTATTGAGAGACTAGCTGCTTTTAAAAATGATAAAGAAAAATCAAGTATTGATGTTGATGAAAATATAATGGCTGTCGTTAGAAATGAAGAATCACAAGTTCGAGCCTCCCTGTCTTTAAGAGAAAAGTTACAAGAACAAATTGCACAAAGCATGAAAGCCATTAAACCAGAAAACAAACTTCAAATTTAATGTCAATCATAAAGAAAGAAATGCATCTGTTTGAAAATGGTGGAAACCAGGGGCATAATTTGGAGTTAGTATACCAATATTTGTTATCTATTCCACCGGCGAGCATCCAACCTGAGCGGGCATTTTCTGCAGCTGGGTATTTGGGAAGTAAAATAAGGAGTAGGCTAAATGACCAAACCTTAAGTGCTCTACTATTGCTCCAGGCATATTTTCACACAAAAAAAGAAAGTTTGTAAATAAAATATGCATTTAATATGAATTGTTTTTTTGTTTTACATTTATTATTTAGCTACCATTTATTTATAAATATAAAATAAAGATTTTCTTTAATTTTTGTCTCTCAATATTAACAAACAACTTATTATGTTATTTTTTACAAAGTAGCTTGTTGCTACAGCAGCTACATTGGTACCCAAATTTAAGAAATGTTATGTTTACAAATTTATTTTGAAATTTTGATTGTTTAGTTACTTTAGTCAAATACACTTTAAATGTTCAAATGTTATTTACATATCCAATTATTTGATGAAGGTTATTTTGTAAAGTCTGTAATCTTAAAACATAATATGGAAGGTACCGTATATATATTTCTGCATTATTTTAAGATCTCTATATACACCTGCTGCCTGTTACACAATTAAAACAATTTAAGGCGCCATAGAAAATTAATGTAAGTCATTAAAACATAATGAAATTAAATAAAGAATTGATAACATTAAAAAGTATATTTATATATGCAGTATTAAGTTCTGTTTTTAGCAAATAACTCACATTATATAAAATCCCGGGATACCGGGATCCCGGGATTTTATTTACTTCAATCCCAAAATCCCGGGATCGTAATTCATGCCCGGGATTGCAATCCCTACTTATAACGCTTGTGTAACAAAAAAAAAAAAAAAAATCTTGTACTCCTGATTTTTTACCATTTTTAACATACATGTAGTACATAGGAAACTTATAAAAATGTGCAGCTAGATCTGTTGTGCTATTGAAATATTGTTTTTTAAAAATCAGTATACACCAGCATATATAAAAGATGACAAATGTCCAAGAAATATGAACATAAAGTATAAATTCAAAAGACAAATTTTAAACATTTGTAGAAGTTGTTGTTTCTTTTTAAAAACTATATGTATTCAGCAAGCATTTTTTTGTTATAGCAGTTACCAAAACGCTTTTCATTGACCTGCATTTCTTTGTGCTGTCTTTCCCCATATTCATCTGAAAAACTCCTAGATATGACTCATATTTGTCCTTATGTTTCAATAATAGGTGCATTTTATTGCTTAAAGTTAAACAACTTATAGCTTGAAAGCTAGACAATAAAAGGTTGACTTTTTGTTTCCAGTCTTCTATTACGTTCTTTCAGAGGATGTGTCTAGCAACAGCACTAAAGTTTAACCAAGCTGCACATTGTAAATCTGTCATCCAGCTAGAAAAACTATTATGTTTCATAAGAATTTTATATTTAGGACCATTTCAGGACTTGTGATTTCTTTATATTTCAACATATAAATTTAAAACAATCACTTCCTTTAGCTAATGCTTTAAGATACTTCTGAAAAAGACCCAGTTTTATATGTAGGATAAGAAATGTAATCTTCTCAAGAGGCACCGAAGCATTTTTATCAAAATCAGGATGAGCTGGCCATGTATGAGTGGAACTAAAATCTAGCTGACTCTGTCTGGAATCAAACACACAATAAAAGCAAAGGTATTTGGCATATCCAGGTATTAACCTCTGATGAAATTTAACACTTTTAAGTCACACATAATGAACCAGCCATGGAAATAATAGTTAATCACTATTATTTCCATGGGCACCAATCACAGCTTGTGTAACAGATATCAAGTTACCCCATCAATCCTTTGATATTATTACAAAAAGCAAAGCCATCAGTCTTAGAAAAGAAAGCAATAACATCTATACTTCGCTCATTAACTTGACGAACCATCAAGTTAATGAGTTAACCGGAGTCTTTTTTAAGCATGGCAAAGTATTTTTGGACATTAGTTAGGTTTAACTCCCTACAAGAATTTATACACTTGTATCTTTCAATCAAAATAAAAATTTCAGCTCTCTAAAGCACAAAAAATTAAAATAAAAAATCATAGAAAGTCAGTGAAATTAAAATACATATGAAGTTATAGAGAATTAAAACTCAGAATTTCTACACCT